CTAAAAGTGCTACCGCCAGACCCGGAGATCGGCTGAATGGATTCGAAAATGGTAAAACTCAACTGTTTAACTCTAGGGCAGTTGGAAAATGAGCCTATTTTCAAAAATAGTGGAGTGTTCCTTTAAGTAGGCTTAATTCTGATCCCTTGGGAAATGGAGGATACAAATGAAATATTTTGCAATGCTTTTTTTTCTGTCTTTTTCAAGATCAACTCTTTCACCAAACTCTTCTTTTCTAACTGTGAGACTTGCTCTGATTACTTGCGGACACAACATGGAGTCAATATAAGAGGATCCATAATAAAGAAAAGAAAAACCTAGTTGTTCCGTGCTCTTAGAAACATGCGTTTTTTATGTATTTTTATAGCATGTATAAATATTTTGCATTAGCTTTTATTTTTGGATTTTCAGTTTTACTAATTTGATGTACTTTCTCTTTTTTTTTTTAATTCTATATGAGTTTTGTTTGTTATTATTTCAAATTTGATCAATTTTAAACTAAAACACTTAAAATTAGAAATGATGCCTAACTGAAATTAAAGTTAAAGCATTAAAATTACTACAAACTTACTACTTACTATAAAAAAAAATAAAACAACTATTATATTTGATATATTTTAATATATTTTAAACAAAAACTAAAAGGCACATCAAGTTACTATAAAATAATAACTTAAAAAATTACAAAAAATACCAAAACCCTTAAACGTATTCCAGTTAGTTGCCAAACATAATTTATTATTATTATTATTATTATTATTATTATTATTATTTCAGGTTTCAGTTGAAGTTACTTTTTTATTTATAGTAATTATATGTGCTTTTCTCATTTCTATTAGTTTTTGTTTAGCATACGGTATGTCTATGTAGCTGTGATTTGAGTTTATTTGTTTTAGTAATTTCTAGTAATAAAAAAAACTTTTTTTTATTTACTTGCCAATGCATCAGTTTTGATTTCTTTAGGTTAAAGTTGTTTCATTTAATATTTAGATTTTATCTCAGTTTTTTTTTGTTTTCAGTTACCGAAAACGGTTTAGTTTTAGTTAACAATAACAATGTTTGTGTGTGTAATATTCTTGCACATCTTATTTTTCAAAATGGTTTTGAACTAACTTTCAGCTTTTGGCATAAAAAGATACAATTATCTCATATTTTACGTATTGACCTTTACACACAGTCATGAAGGCCTATTTCACTTAATTTCATTTGATCAGAATGTTGGTTGGACCACATGTCATGCACTCAATCTGAAATTATCCTTACTCGAAAAATCACCTCGCTCATTGCTATGTGCGTGTGTTTGTGCAATTCAGGGATTGTAGAATGCATATACAATTATTATGGCTCATTTGATCCAAAACCGCTTCAAATTTGCTATCTTAGATATTTCCTACTGCTCTTTACACCATACTGCCTAAAAAAAGGTCTCAACGGAGCCTGGTTTTTTTTTTTTTTTCTCCACGGTTGCACAAAAACCTGCAATTTCCTGTATCAAAAAGAAAAAGAAAAAAAATTGCCGAACTCAGCATCACCTCTCGCTCCACTTCTGGGCCGTCACTAAAAAGCGCGGCGAATGCAACGGGAGTAATTTCAGCGAGCACGTCCCCTCATCCTCTCCTGCTTTGTAAGATTTGCTAAATTGGTGATACTGGATTTGGTGGCCCTCATTGTCATCATTCAGCTGCTGAGCCATTGTTGGATTGGCGTGTCACGGTTGTCCTCACTTAACTGAACACTTCGCACGTAAGAGCAGATGGCGTGGCTATTACATATCATCTTATTTACTGCTGTGAGACATGCGGACTCCTGTCAAGGCAAACAGAAACCACCACGTGTTCGAATCTAGGCCGGGGTCATTTCCCAATCCCACCCAACCTTCTCCCATGTGTCCCAGTCTCTCACTGTTCGGTTGCCTTTCAGAATCTGCAAAATGTTAATTAGGCTATTTTACCAAAATAAGAGGGCTCATACGAAATGCATGTTATTGTTTATTTAGTACTGACCTGAATGAGATAATCCACATAAAAGACATTTTTACATATAGTCCACAAGAGAAAATAATAGTTGAATTTATAAAAATGACCCCATTCAAAAGTTTACATCCCCTTGATTCTTAATACTGTGTTGTTACCTGAATGATCCACAGCTGTGTTTTTTGTTTAGTGATAGTTGTTCATGAGTCCCTTGTTTGTCCTGAACAGTTAAACTGCCTGCTGTTCTTCAGAAAAACCCTTCAGCTCCCACAAATTCTTTGGTTTTCCAACATTTTTGTGTATTGGAACCCTTTCCAACATTGACTGTATGATTTTGAGATCCATCTTTTCACACTGAGGACAACTGAGGGACTCATACGCAACTATTACAGAGGGTTCAAACACTCACCGATGCTCCGGAAGGAAAAACCATGCATTAAGATCAGGGTAAATTTAACTTATTTTGTCTTCTGGGAAACATGTAAGTATCTTCTGTAGCCTCTGAAGGACAGTACTAAATGAAAAAATATATAAATATATATATGATATTTAGGCAAAATAAGAAAAATGTACACATCTCCATTCAGTTCAAAAGTTTTCACCCCCCGGCTCTTAATGCATGGTTTTTCCTTCTGGACCATCAGTGAGCATTTTACCTCTTATTCAGGTCAGTACTAAATAAAAAAAATAACATGCATTTTGTATGATCCCTCTTATTTTGTTAAAATAATTAACATTTTGCAGATTCTGCAAGGTGTATGTAAACTTTTGACTTCAACTGTAAACTGTTTCCTGGATGATCCACGACTGTTTTTCTGTGTTGTGATAGTTGTTCATGAGTCCCTCGTTGGTCCTGAGCAGTTCAACTGCCTGCTGTTCTTCAGAAAAATCCTCCAGCTCCTGCACAATCTTTGGTTTTCCAACATTTTCTGCATATTTGAACCCTTTCCAACATTGACTGTATGATTTTGAGATCCATCTTTTCACACTGAGGACAACTGAGGGACTCATACGCAACTATTACAGAGGGTTCAAACACTCACCGATGCTCCGGAAGGAAAAACCATGCATTAAGATCAGGGTAAATTTAACTTATTTTGTCTTCTGGGAAACATGTAAGTATCTTCTGTAGCCTCTGAAGGACAGTACTAAATGAAAAAATATATAAATATATATATGATATTTAGGCAAAATAAGAAAAATGTACACATCTCCATTCAGTTCAAAAGTTTTCACCCCCCGGCTCTTAATGCATGGTTTTTCCTTCTGGACCATCAGTGAGCATTTTACCTCTTATTCAGGTCAGTACTAAATAAAAAAAATAACATGCATTTTGTATGATCCCTCTTATTTTGTTAAAATAATGAACACTTTGCAGATTCTAAAAACTTATGACTTATGACTAAAAACGTATGACATCAACTGTAATTGGCTTTTCTGCAACATTTTAAAAGCATAATTTTGTTCCAGTGTTAAAATATTGACGTATGTTTTGCGTGTTGTCGTTCCAGAGTGGTGAGTGGAAGGAGAGATCCTGCCTTCCCCCCGTCCCTGCCCATTCCATCATCCGAAGAGCATCTTTCATGCGTCTCCCTGGGCCCGAATCCCACGTCAGGATGAACTGTGAGCAGGATTTTGGAGATGGAGGCATGAACGTCACTCTAACTCTCCGGCTGCTCATGCACGGCAAGGTAAACGCACACACTTACACCACAAACATTCAGTGTTTTCAGTGCAAGACAACCCTGAGAGAAGCAGCCCGATGTTTACATTTTGAAATGATACTGATGATGATACATAAACTTCTTATGAAAACTAAAGCTGGATGATTATGTTTAATATTTACCTTATGCTCAATGGTATTTTGTTAGCAATGTAGGCTAGTTTTGTGTGTCACAACACATTAATACAGAGATGTTTTAACATAATCTCTGATTTAACTTCAGCATGCAGATAGTATTGAGAAGTGTGCTTTTGTATGCGCTATTTTGATAAATTGGTTTAAAATAATGATTCAACTGTTCATTATGTTTCCATCATTATTCAGAAATGTTCACTGACGTTCCCATTTTATTTTATTCATTATTTATTTTATTTTATTTTTATCAAAGTTTATCAAAACAAAGTTTTGCATACATTAGAATGTGTCCTATTTATTCATTCATTCATTCATTCATTCATGTATTTATTTATTTTTCTGAGCCAAAATAATGACCGCCATATATTTTACCATGAATTACACTAAAATGTAATTTAGTGTAACAATAGTTCATATAAAAAAAAAAAAAACAACCTTGTCAGGCATATTTATAACACGAATCATTACATGACATTAAAAAGACTCTATTTAAGGATCACAGTGCAGACACCAAAAATACAAATTTATTGTAATTTAAAATCTTCACCAATTTTTGCCACTATCTTTCAAACCACTAGGTTTTACCCATTTGTCAGCAAGAAGTTTTTAATTATTTAAATATACAATTTAGTATGATCACCTTTTCTTCTATATATTTTAATGCGTACAGTACAGCTCAGAATAAGTATGTTGTTTCATTTTTACATAAATATATATATATATATATATATATATATATATATATA